AGACAAGACCTGCCAAAACCATTAGAAGCACACAGCATTACGTCACTGGAAAACTGTGAGATCAATTCAAAAAACAAATTGGACCAAGCCAAACACAAAGGCTAGACTATGTTTGCAGAGGTAGCCTGAGCGGCACATTTAGGCACAGAACCCAAATTTGTGTCACTCACGCCGTCAATGCATGATAAACAGTTCAACAATACATTATTTACAGTCGAACTGACATCGGTAACACCAGCAAAACATGTGCCAGTTTACACAAATGTTACAGACTCGCTTCCGATACAAATCACAACAGCTTTGCAGATGCATTGTGCGCTAACGTTACTTTGTATACATTTTAGGGAAACTGGCTGGCTAGATTATCTTCGTGGTCATCCGCTAGGAATAGCTAGCTAGCTTTTAGCCAACCGTTGGAAGACACACACACATACACATTTAATAAAATATAGAAATGAATTTCAACCTTCAATACAAATTGAAATTAAGAATAAAACAAAAATCACTACATGTCGACATTGTCCATCAAATGTAAACTACACATTATGCTGGAGTTTAAATTGTTAGCAAAAGAGGGATCGCTATCTATAACGTTAGCTGATGCCGGAGGTTTTTACATAAACGTGCCGACTAATATTCCGACATCAGTGAACACTCTTGCTTATTATTACTCACCTGCCCTATACAGCACGGAGTACACATCTTGTTACGGTGGTCAAAAATACCCTTTCAGAATGTAGCCCACTTTTCCAGTCCGGACGTTCTCTCGTAGAGTTCTACTTACAACGACCGTGGCGACAGTACGTGTGTACCACTCTTCCCAGTCTCTCTCTTTCTCGCCCCCTCTCTCCTCCCACTGTTTTTACCGTGATGGCGTTACTTGCTACAGGCAGCTGCTGAACCACTCATTGCACAGACAAAAACCACTAGAGCGTGACTCAAAGCAAGTAAGATGCCATAGCAGAGATACTGTGTAATAAATCACTATGAAGCGTTATAAACAGGTAATACGACAAAGAAGATACTATGACAATGGCACATTTCATTTATAATATTAATTGCATTTTCTTCTTTTATTTATTTCTCACTTCCGTTTTAGTCACATTGTTCTAGGTTCATATAGTTTCCATTCATGATAGTTGGTCAATAAACTGTTATATTATGGATTAGAAATGTCGTACAGTCACAGTGAAATCCTTTTGTAAAAACAGTGTGTTGTTACAGAAGTGTTACTGATTCTGACGTTGGGTTTTCATAATGTTCCATAGTGAGACTATCACTGTAGTCACCATAGTGACAGACAATGAAACTTCAGTTCTCAGCTTCAACAACTTGGCTATTAGCCGGAACCTGGGTGATGACACTGACTTCATCTTCTCAGACTTTTCTCTCTTTCTTTTCCACAGAGAAACGCAAACAAGATACAGGGAGGAATGTTTAGAGAAGGGATGATTTTTTTCACTCAGTGTGTGTGTGTGTGTGTATCTGTGTGTGGACTAAGAGGACCTTCACATGGATACAGAATGGCATATCTGAGCCCACTCACACAGGCAACCTTTTCCTACTCTGTCCTTGGAATTAATCTGGTACAGGGAAGCCTGGGCGTTTATTTAATTTAACATAATATTTCTATTTCTTTTCATATCATGTGATGCCAAGAACCAATATCATGTGATATTGAAGTCAAAGTCAGATAAGGGAGCAGGCATTTGATCTTGAGTCAAACACTGCCCATGTGCATTCTTTCACAGAATGAGCAATGTAGCCCTTAACAATGGCTCGCATAACTATTCTTGGAGTGATTCTGTTATCCCAGTGTGAGCTGATAACTGGCCCTGTGTACAACTGCTGTGTGTGTCATCTGCCGCCGCCATCACACACACCATCCATTCACACACACACACAGGACCCTGTCATTTCTCCAGGCTGGGCCGCCACACACGGCCATTGTTTCTCTGCTCTGCTGTTCAAGTGCTGTATTGTATTGTGGGGCATCAGCTCGCCCTCACCTCAACCATGAGCCCCATGATCCAAACGGTTCTCTGTCGTCTGGACCGAACTTGTCTGGACTGAGTCCTGCTCCAATACTCCAATAAGATGTCTTTCCTTCCTTTTCATTGAGATAACAATCACTGATCCAACAGCATTGGATGGGTGAAAGGCAACAAGGGCCTCACTACGGTACAGGTGTAGAGGATGGCAGCTTTTGACATGCTCTGTTCTGACACAACTGGACAGGGGACAGCTAAAAGGTAGTCTCCTATCACAACCTCTGTGGAGTGCTGAGTGCCCTGAATCTGGCGAGAGAGACTAACTGAGCCTGTCATGAGATCTGCCCTCACTTGTCAGGCTGTGTCAGATCAGTCTGGACAGATTAGAGGGGACAGTAGTGATGGGGGAAATGTATACAGAGTATCGCAATAATATTTTTGATTATATTATATACATTTTATGACTCCAAGTATCGATTCTCCCCCCCAAAAATAGTAGGTAACATTAGCTAGCGCTAGTCGGCGGTACCTGTGCCAAAACACTTTTCTCTTTCTCTAGTTTGTTATCCACCTTCTTTTTAAAATGGTGAGCCAACATGTTTTCAGCACTTTTATTTCCATGGTTGATCAAAACTTGTTTTCTCATGGCTCTCTCTTGTCCCTTTGCAGCAGACATGGTGAGCAATGTGTTTGGAACATCGAATCGTGAGAATCACAATACATATCATATCAGCACCTAAGTATTGTAATATCATCGTATCGTGAGGTCCGTGGCATTTCCCAGCCCTAGGGAACAGGAGGCCACTTTAGACTATTGACATACAGCGCTGGTGGTGGTACACTGGTGTCAGACTGGAGCTGAACTGGGCCACCCTGTCTGCCCTGGAGGCATTTTGTCTCCTTGTCACACACATTCTCCCACCCTCCCACACACATTCTCCCACCCTCCCACACACACACACAATGGGCAAGTTTATTTTGCATGTTACGGTGCCCCAGGGTGGGCAGGGTTTGCTCATTCCATATTTCTGTACACACATACACACACCTTCCTTTGCAAGATTCTCTCTCTTTGGTTGGGTATTCATTGCACAGACTAAACTGTGTGTAATTTTTGTTTTCTATTATATACACACAACATGACCAAAAGTATGTGGACACCTGCTCGTCGAACATCTCATTCCAAAATCATAAGCATTAATATGGAGTTGGTCCCCCCTTTGCTGCTGTAACATCCTCCACTCTTCTGGGAAGGCTTTCCACTAGATGTTGGAACATTGCTGCGGGGACTTGCTTCCATTCAGCCACAAGAGCATTAGTGAGGTCGTGCACTGATGTTGGACGATTAGGCCTGGCTCGCAGTCGGCGCTCCAATTCATCCCAAAGGTGTTAAATGGGGTTGAGGTCAGGGCTCTGTGCAGGTCAGTTAAGTTCTTCCACACCAATCGCGACAAACCATTTCTGTATGGACCTCGCTTTGTGCACGGGGGCATTGTCATGCTGAAACTGGAAAGGGCCTTCCCCAAACTGTTGCCACAAAGTTGGAAGCACAGAATCATCTAGAATGCCATTGCATGCTTTAGCATTAAAATTTCCCTTCACTGGAACTAAGGGACCTAGGCCGAACCATGAAAAACAGCCCCAGACCATTATTCCGCCTCCACCAAACTTTACAGTTAGCACTATGGTAGCATTCTCCTGGCATCCGCCAAACCCAGATTTGTCCGTCGGACTGCCAGATTGTGAAGCGTGACTCATCACTCAAGAGAACACATTTCCACTGCTCCAGAGTCCAATGGCGGCGAGCTTTACACCACTCCAGCCGACGCGTGGCATTGCGCATGGTGATCTTAGATTTATGTGCGGCTGCTCAGCCATGGAAACCCATTTCATGAAGCTCCCGAGGAACAGTTATTGTGCTGACGTTGCTTCCAGAGGCAGTTTGGAACTCGGTAGTGAATGTTGCAACCGAGGACAGACAATCTTTACGCGCTACGCGCTTCAACAATCGCCAGTCTTGTTCTGTGAGCTTGTGTGGCCTACCACTTCGCGGCTGAGCAGTTGTTGCCACTTCACAATAACAGCACTTACAGTTGACCAGGGCAGCTCTAGCAGGGCAGAACTGACTTGTTGGAAAGGTGGCATCCTATGACGGGGCCACATTGAAAGTCACTGAGCTCTTCAGTAAGGCCATTCTACTACAAATGTTTGTTTATGGAGATTGAATGGCTGTGTGCTCGATTTGATACACCTGTCAGCAACGGGTGTGGGTGAAATAACCGATTCCACTAATTTGAAGGGCTGTCCACATACTTTTGTATATATAGTGTTTATTTGTTTTCCTCACACACACACACACCGCGTGAAAAGGTTAATTCTTTATACCTTTATCAGGATTCAGTCTCTGTTTATGTAGTGGGTGGATGGTAGTGTAATCATTCAGAGCAGTAAGGGCACTGCCCTCCATGTGGGGTGAATGCCAACACAAACCAGAGTGGGAAAGGTGACATGAGGATTCCCAAACATAAGTTCCTTCCTAATATTCGATTCAATATATATTTTTTATTCCATATTTGACATTCCACAAACATTTTCCAATAACAGTTTTCATTAAATTCATGAAAAAAATAATGGTATCAAATGTGAACCTTTATAATAGCTTTCTTTGTAATGCGAGTTAGCTAAGAGTTGAGGTGTCACATTAATTCAGAGTTGTCAACCAAATGAACAAGAGCATAATCTCAGACAGAATTATTTATTATCCTACATCACTTACACAAAAAATAAACAAATAAAACTAAATCTATGAAATGAATCATAACGAAAACCAAGTGTTGCTGTTTTTCCTCTTCTGTCACATAAATAGTTCTGCTCTACCAGGCTCTTACAGAGCTCAGAAATCATTGTTGCAATGAAGAATATTCAGAACCACTGTTCTAGACCACACTGGAGGTTTTCACAGCTGGACCATTAGACCACAATGGGCCGCACTGGAGGCATAAGTAGTTGTCCCTAACCACAGATCTAGGATCACATGACCTAACACCAAATGTAAAAAAAATAATGACCCTGGACCACTGGTTAGGGGAAACTTCTACCTAGTCCAATGAACCACTCTGGGAGTTCAACAGCAGGAGTGGTCATGTTGCTCCACCGAAGCAAATCCCCCCTCTCACAGTATCAGTTTCTTCTTTATGGTGCCTGAAAAGGAAAAACAACCATTGCTTTAATGAACGTATACACGCACCATCTGCTAACAACTAAATTCAGATTTCAGCACCCAGAGCCTCTTTTTAAATATAGCTCAGCGTATTATAATATACAGCCCAGTCGACCTAAATAGTTCTTAAACCACCGCTTTGAACCTCCCAGTAACACACGGTTTCCTCCCAGTAACACGGCTTCTGTTGCAGTAAAATGTCCTGCCACCACCCTTTCAACTGTGTGTGTGTGTGTGTGTGTGTGTTCTAGTCCTGGGTTGCTATAGCAGTCATTTTACCGCCGACACCCTTTTAATTACTGGCCTCTGAATCTAATGGGATTCCAGCTCTATGCGAGTAAAAGCATGTTCCTCTGACAGTGTGTGAGATTACGTGTTTTTAATTGATGAGGGTATTTCTGATAACATGGTCACAGTCCAAAAATATGTATGCATTCTAGGAACGGGAGGGTCCCTTGCTGGCCCCACCAAATCTAGAAACCAGTCCTTGAATCCATTGTACAAGCCAAACCATCAGTTTAAATAAGCAAGCAGAATAATATTTCCCAATGTCAAACACAACCATGTATGATGGAATAATGATGTCTGTGCTATTGACTCCACTGGTGAGGGGGGTTATTTACTTGTCTCCAGTCCATCTCGTTTCCTCTTGATTCCGATGGTGAGGTTCTCCTTCTCTTTGAGAGCCTCTGCTGAGGAGTTGGGCCGGGGCAGCTGGGCCCCGGGGGTCGGACCTGGTCTGTTACTGAAGTATCTCATCTTTAGAGCCTGGAGACAGGGGGTAGAAGGGGGGGGGGGCTTTAGAGCTAGGAGAAACAGCACTGAATATTCACAGAGTGAAGCCCAACTAAGGCAGTGTCACAATTGACACCCTATTCCCCATAGGGCTCTGGTCAAAACAATAGTAGTGCACTATATAGGGAATAGGATGCCATTAGGGATGCATATAATACGCAGGGTAATACAACTATGCTAAAAACTAAGGAACTTGTGAAAGACACCGAGTGCCACAGCACACCAGCATACCTGTGTAGCTGTAAGGCGTGTGGAGGGGTTGAAGGTGAATAGACCCTGTAGTAGCTCTAAGAGGTCGTCTCCTGCAGCACTGAAGATGTGTTCCAGAGGAGTACCAGGAAACAACTTAAACGACACATAGTCAGGTAGACTACTCATCCCCTAGAGACAGAGAGAGAGAGAGAGACGGAGAGAGACAGAGAAGCACAGAGTTAGATAGAGACATGAAGGCATTATTTAGATACACAATTTAGTATTGAGGGACCAGGTATTTTAAAGCAGATGCTTGGTCTTACATAACCACACATGCAGACACAGAAAATACAGACTCACAGGCCAGGTGCTGTCTGTAGGAGTACCCAGAGCTTCAAAGATCTTACTCAGCTGGTCCAGATCCGAGTCTCCTGCTAGGAAGGGTAACTGGAGAGAGACAGGGTGTTACACCACAAACATGTATCGAGCATGGGCTAAGTCCCAAATGACAACATATTCCTATGGGCCCTGGACAAAAGTAGTACACTATATAGGGAATAGGGTTCCATTTGGGATGCAAATAGTGGGTGTACAGAAAGGTGTGTGTCTGACAATACAGTTATGTCGAACATTAATGCTCAGTCTTGATCAAAAAGTCACCATGAGACAAGACAATTTCAGAACAAAGTTCAATTAATCTGAGCTGCCTAGTTTCACAGGGTTTTTGTACCTTTATCCAGACAAATTGTCCAGTTTTGTCTCGTCTCAATGTTTAAATTGGACTGAGCTTATGTGGTGTGTGAGTGTACCCTTAAGAGGAGCTCTGCAAGGATGCAGCCCACAGCCCACATGTCGACGCCCACCCCATACATCCTGGCTCCGAACAACAACTCTGGAGAACGATACCACCTGAGAGAGCGCAAACATTGCATCACAAACACAGTGACACATTACATTTATTTTAATGTAATTTTTACTAAATGGACAATAAAAGCTTTGAAATTGAGTTTGAGAGTGACACCTACCTGGTGACTACCTGGTGAGTGTAGATTCTGTTAGGGCTGCCGAAGGCTTTAGCCAAACCAAAATCAGCCAGCTTCAACACACCATTCTCATCCAGCAGCAGGTTATTGGGCTTCAGATCCTACACACAGACACAGTATTTTACTATGGAGCAAATACAATTTTTCCTTTGACCAAGATAATCAATCCACCTGACAGGTGTGGCATATCAAGAAGCTGATTAAACAGCATGATCTTTACACAGGTGCACCTTGTGCTGGGGGGCAATAAAAAGCCACTAAAATGTGCAGTTTTGTCACACAACACAATGCCACAAGTTGAGGGAGCGAGCAATTGGCATGCTGACTGCAGGAATGTCCACCAGAACTGTTGCCAGATAATTTCATTTTCATTTCTCTACCATAAGTCGCCTCCAACGTCATTTTAGAGAATTTGGCATTATGTCCAAAAGGCCTCACAACCACAGACCACATGTAACCACGCCAACCCAGGACCTCCACATCCGGCTTCTTCAACTGCTGGATTGTCTGAGGGGGGTGGGTGCTGAAGAGTATTTATTTCTGTAATAAAGCCTTTATGTGGGGGAAAAACTCATTCCGATTGGCTGGGCCTGGCTCCCCAGTAGGCGCCACTGCACAGTCATGTGAAATCCATATCCATAGATTAGGGCCTAATGAATTCATTTATATTGACTGCTTTCCTTATATGAACAGTAACATCTTTGAAATTGTTGCATGTTGCGTTTATATTTTTGTTCAGTATATATATATATATATATATAATATATATATATATATATATACAGTCATGGCCAAAATTGTTGGCACCCCTGAAATTTTTCCAGAAAATGAAGTATTTCTCACAGAAAAGTATTGAAATTACACATGTTTTGCTATGCACATGTTTATTTCCTTTGTGTGTATTGGAATAACAACAAAAAAAAACAGGAAAAAAAGCAAATTTGACATAATTTCACACAAAACTCAAAAAATGGGCCGGACAAAAATGATTGGCACCCTTAACTTAATATTTAGTTGCACACCCTTTGGAAAAAATAACTGAAATCAGTCGCTTCCTATAACCATCAATAAGCTTCTTACACCTCTCACCCGGAATTTTGGACCACTCTTCTTTTGCAAACTGCTCCAGTCTCTCATATTGGATGGGTTGCCTTTTCCCAACAGCAATTTTAAGATCTCTCCACAGGTGTTCAATGGGATTAAGATCTGGACTCATTGCTGGCCACTTCAGAACTCTCCAGCGCTTTGTTGCCATCCATTTCTGGGTGCTTTTTGAAGTATGTTTGGGGTCATTGTCCTGCTGGAAGACCCATGATCTCGGACGCAAACCCAGCTTTCTGACACTGGGCCCTACATTGCGACCCAAAATCCTTTGGTAATCCTCAGATTTCATGATGCCTTGCACACAGTCAAGGCACCCAGTGCCAGAGGCAGCAAAACAACCCCAAAACATCTTTGGACCTCCACCATATTTGACTGTAGGTACTGTGTTCTTTTCTTTGAAGGCTTCATTACATTTTCGGTAAACAGTAGAACGATGTGCTTTACCAAAAAGCTCTATCTTGGTCTCATCTGTCCATAAGACGTTCTCCCAGAAGGAATTTGGCTTACTCATGTACATTTTGGCAAACTGTAGTCTTGCTTTTTTATGTCTCTGTGTCAGCAGTGGGGTCCTCCTGGGTCTCCTGCCATAGCGTTTCATTTCATTCAAATTTCGACATATAGTTCGCGCTGACACTGATGCACCCTGAGCCTGCAGGACAGCTTGAATTTCTTTGGAACTTGTTTGGGGCTGCTTATCCACCATCCGGACTATCCTGCGTTGCAACCTTTCATCAATTTTTCTCTTCCGTCCACGTCCAGGGAGATTAGCTACAGTGCCATGGGTTGCAAACTTCTTGATCATGTTGCGCACTGTGGACAAAGGAACATCTAGATCTCTGGAGATGGACTTGTAACCTTGAGATTGTTGATATTTTTCCACAATTTTGGTTCTCAAGTCCTCAGACAGTTCTCTTTTCCTCTTTCTGTTCTCCATGCTTAGTGTGGCACACACAGAAACACAATGCAAAGACTGAGTCAACTTCTCTCCTTTTTATCTGCTTTCAGGTGTGATTTTTAGATTGCCCACACCTGTTACTTGCCCCAGGTGAGTTTAAAGGAGCATCACATGCTTGGAACAAATATATATATTTTTTTTTTTCTTTTTCTTCTGAAGTTCAGTCTACCGCCCCTAACATTACCTCACACAGGCACCTATGAGAGGGTGTGTATTGTACGAGCGTGCTTTGAGGAAGTGTGTATGTGTTAACCTACCCTGTGCAGGACCCAGTGGTGGTGCATGTACTCCAGGCCCTGTAGAGTCATCACTATGAAGGCTTTGATGTTGGCTGGAGTCAGAACCAGACTGGTATCTTTAATGATCACCTAGAACATAGGAAAGGGAGTTAGACCAGGGGTGTCAGTCTCAATAGTCTACAACCCCCTTTCTTAACTCCAGGGCTGCAGGTTCACAGACAACAAAACGCCTCTCAGGAAAGTACAAGATGATCTGACAACAGATATCAGAAAATTATTTCAGCTCAACATCTCTATATGTAGTCAGGCTATCAAATCCTCCTCATATTTCAGTCCTCTGTGAGCTTTCTCTGTCTGTCTATGATCTGATAATGGTCATTAGATCATCTTGAGAGCTGAGGGGAGAGTGGTATTGATTATTTAAGAGCAGCTATCAATACTTCATTATGGCTCTAAGGGGGTCTGTTTTCCTGCTCTCTACCTGAGTTTGAGGTATCGGCAGTGAAACTGGGCACTCATCTGAAGCCATCCGGCAGGCACAGACTCCCATAAATACAGAGTAAATAGAAAATCGAGGCAAGGAGAGATGGAGAGAGAAATGGGGATGGCTGAGAGAGAGAGATGTCCCCCAGGGCCAGAGCTGGCCCTACAGAACTCCTCAGAGATAGAAACCAACTAATACCATAGCTCTCAGGCTGCTCCCTCTCTCTGGTTCTCTCTGGGCAGTCTTTGATGTTCAGTTTGACTGAACCCATCTGTGCCTCAGGGAGGACATCACAGAGAGCTAACAGAATGAACAGAGTACCAGTCTGTAAAGGGACCCTCTCGCATATCCAAAAGGATCTTCATACTATGTATTAACCCATGAGGCCCAAGTACTGCCCTCTCCTCTCTCTGGAGAGATAAATGGCGTATCCCTGTAGTGGCCTCTAGTGTCCAAAGCCACTTTTAGAATACAGCCGTGAATGTCAGCATTTACAATGCCAGTTTCCTGGACACAGATTAATCCTAGTCATGAGCTAGGTTTCCATTCAATTGGCGACAGATTTCATGCAAATATTCTAAAAACCGCATAAAGAAAATATGTGCATTTTCCAACCAGTGGTGTGTTTCCACCAAACTGACTTGCTGCGGATAAAAATCAGTGTGTGATGACATACTGCATGCAAAATGTACTTTTTTTCACTTACGTTTTCATGTACCATATAAAAATTGAAAGTTCAATGTGTTTCCATCGCATTTTCAACTCTACCAACAGTTCTGTCACAAAAACGGTTGCTTTAAATAGCAAATGTGCCTACTCTGGTCTTGGCACGTAAGCTCTAGCCAACAGCTTGCAGATACAGGTAGGCTAGTCTACATGATGAGATTATTATGGATAAGAGCGAGAATATTTATATTTGTCAAACGGCAGTCAAGCATCGATCATCATGTCACCAGAATAAGACCCTAAATATTTATTGGAAAGGAGCATCAAGCTCATCACCGTGCACTTTCACCACCCTGTGAAGTTCATCATAATTTATTTAATCTGTAATAAACTGCATGTTTTTCCCAGAGTCTTAGTGGGAGGACCACACACATATCATCGCGAGACTCCCAAATTTACTTTGATATGATGGTTATTATATAAACATTTGCGCATAAAAGGCGTTTCCACCGCCATTTCTCACACATTTCATTTTACAGACACAAAAAGATCCCACCATGTCGAACGAACAATTTATAAAATTGTACCGAAACGTCCTGTTTCCATCACAGCTGTCGTGATTTATTTTTATATGGTGTGACTATGGTGTGGATGGAAACATGCTTATGGTCTAAAAAGCTATTTCAGTGGCGATTCTCCATTAAGCAAGCTTTTTAGTCCAGGACTAGGCTTAATCTGTGTCCATGAAACCGGCCCAATATGACCAAAACCTGAAGCTCAGTCTTACCTCCAGATCTGTCTCCATGTAGTCAAACACCAAGCTGATGTTGGATTTGTGCCCGAATGCATCAAGCAGCTGAGAAACAGAGACATGGACACACGTTGATGTAAATGTAGGGAAATACTGTACATGATGTTGTGCTTTCTTTGAGAACATTACACAATTTCACAGTAAAGGTGATGGTGAGCAAGATAATTAAGATAGTTTATAAAGGATGCTTTGGTTAGGAATAATATCCAAAGGAGCTCTAAATGATCATAAATGCAACTGATGATGAAACTGATTCAATGCTCTACCAGGAAAGCATTAATATTACTACTGAAAGTTTCCATTTAAACAGTAGGAGTTTAGTTTGATTCTTACCCCAATAATGTTTGGGTGACTTAACTCCTGCAGTAGTTTAATCTCTCGTAGGGCTGTCCTGTTGATGCCTGAGAGATACATGATCAACAAACATGAGAAAAATATTCTGAATCAAACTTCATGGGTTGGTTTCCCAAAGATTAAGCCTATTCTGGACAAAAAAAACAGTTTTAATGGAGATTCTCCACTGAGCTAGCTTTTTAGTCCAGGACTAAGGTTTATCTGTATCAAGGAAACCACCCCATACATAAGTTTGAACCTAAACCACTCTGAAGCTCCAGTACTAGGGTGCGCGGACAGACAGACACTCACCATCTTTAGCCTCTGTTCTGTGTCCAACTTTGATCTGCCAGGAGAAACAGCACACACTTTTAATAGTGTACATTATAATCAAATCAAACCACCATAGTTTTAAAGTGTGGATATGAATCAACAGTTTCATGATGAATGGCATAAATTGCATGGTGTAATCCTGGACGTAGCTCATTTGCATAGTGTGTCCTTAGCATCCTGTTCTCCCCAGCCCCCAGATTATACCCTACACAAGGCCTACACAAAAACCTTATGCAGAAAAAAGAGCTGCTGCTGGCAATGTACTTTGGGAGATTCTCAATTGGGAAAAAGTCTGTCCTATCCTCCTCCGTGACCAGGAAACCGGAAGCCATATGTAGGAGTGTCAATTGGTTAATAAGCAAACGGAGGAGTGTCCTCCTCTCCTTGACCACCTCCTCCTACCGAGGAAGCACAAGTGTATCCTCTCGGCTCCCTATCGGGGAAGCGTTTTGAAATCTGTCACACACCCTTTGAATCAGGTGTGCGTTCAGTATGACAGAACGGTGTGCAATGTTGAATTTAACGGAAACGGTACTGAACGACCAGTTGAAAAATGTTATGATTATGGTGGCCCAGAGGGTGATTACCGTATGGTGCCCTGGATCTGAACCCCGCCCTGTGCAACTAGGTCCTGGACTTCCTGAGGGGCCAACCCCAGGTGGTGAAGATAGGCAACAACACCACCGCCACGCTGAACCGGAACAAGGGGGCCCTACAGGGGTGCGTGCTCAGTCTCCTCCTGTACTCCCTGTTCACCCATGGTTGCATGGCCACGCACATCGCCAACTCAATCATCAAGTTTGCTGACGACACAACAGTGGTAGGCCTGAGTACCAACAACGACGAGACAGCCTACAGGGAGGAGGTGAGAGCCCTGGCGGAGCGATGCCAGGAAAATAACCTCTCCCTCAACAAAACGAAGAAGCTGAACAGGGACTTCAGGAGACAGCAGAGAGTACGCCCCCATCCAGATTGACAGGGCCATAGCGGAGAGGGTGAAAAGCTTCAAATTCCTCGGCGTGCACATCACTGACGACCTGAAATGGTCCATTCACACAGACAGTGTTGTGAAGAAAGCGCAACAGCGCATCTTCAACCTCAGGAGGATAAAGAAAGTCGGCTTGGCCCCTAAGACCCTCACGAAATGCTAGATGCACCATTGAGACCCTCCTGTCAAGCAAAACCAAATTAGATCTCCCTTTCCCCTCTTTAAGGATGCAATTTTTCGAGCCTGAACCATTCATCCCAGATCTTAGGGGCTTTACCTTCTTGATGGCAACTATCGTGTCGTTGGTCTTGTCCCTGGCTTTGTAAACAGTGGCAAACTGTGGGAAGGCAGGAAGAACAACATTCGTTGGTAAGTAAAACAGAGTGAAACTAACGTTACCATCAACTTCAAAAGTGACACAAGCAGATAAATGTAGCTAGCTAGTCAACAAACACATTAGCTAATTAATTACTGCTAGTTAGTTAATACAAGCTATCATCAGAAGGCTTTTTAAATTGCTGTGATTTTGAAGGTGTTGCCTTTGCAGAAACCGGCAACGTTTTACAACTCATGCCATGGCTAGCTCATTGTGCTGCTAGCTAGCTAGGATAGTATAACGTTGCAGCTAGCAATATAACTTTAGTTTTCTTTGAATCTATAAAGCGCTAATCTAAACAAAGCGGCTCATACGCAAAACACTACATTGGCAAGAGAACACTGTTTCTCATTACCTGACCCTCCCCCAGAAAATCTAGTTTTTCATATCTTTTTGCTCGGGACTTTACATCAAGCGCCATGATCGCAATTTAAACTGTAATTTCTCCAACTTCCGGCTTTGTTAAAGGTCCATAAGTATTTCCGGGTGAAACAATCATCGTGTTGAGAGTTGATTTTTGACCAACAGCGTCATCTGTTGGTTACTATTAACCTGAAGACTCTTACTTATATCGACATGATTTTATGATCTAACCCCCAAAACAAAGAGCAACGACAGGTTTGTAGACATTCTATGCCCTTTTGTCAAAAGGAGAAAAGCACTTGTAGTATGGCAAATTATTGTCCCACACGATGAAATCGGGGAGGGGACTGTGGATCTGTATCTGTCCTAGCCCATTATTGGACTAAAGAAGTGTAACGTTACTCCTTAGTCCAAGGACCTTACATGTTCTGTTTAAATACATCTAAACTCTGTCTAAACCGGGGGAGGGGGTTCTACTAAGCTATATAGAATTGTTTTAAGAAGGTCATACCAATGATCTTTTTGCTATTTGATTTTGAATTTTAAGACCCCTTGAAGTATCAAAAAATATATATCAAAAATATTTGATAAAAATGTGTATTTGGCTTTACTGCTATTAGCCCATACAAACGCATTAAATAACAGATTCACTACATGGAACAACAGATAGTCCCCCTCAAAAATCCAAAGGAAGTTTGATCTGAAGTGCCTGTCCTATATCTGAGAGATATAAGTAAGATCAGGAAACATTTGTAACTTTTTTGACATGTTTTTAAGGTTCCCACAAGGCCATATTTCCATATTACAGCGCTTGTTTACAGAAAACAGAGTGGACTACCTGTGCTTATTAGCTAGCTGAGTCTCAGAACACCTGTGTGTAAACGGAAGACAGACACATTTACATTTTACAGACACTCTTATCCAGAGCTTATTTTTCATACTGACCCCCGTGGGAATCGAACCCACAACCCTGGCATTGCAAGCGCCATGCTCTACCAACTGAGCTACAGGAGGACTGTACAAAGAAGTTGTCAATGAAAAATTGTGGCTGCAACTGTGTTATAAACCGGTGTATTTTTCTGTTGTGAAAATATTTTGATGTGATATGAAATTAGAGGGATTTATGTTTCTAGAACCATACCGCAATTGAGAATTTATTCACGTTTTAGATGCAGTATTTGGCTGTTTTGGCTTCCAGAGCCAATTCGCCCTCCCCCGGCTTAGACCGGGTTTAGACTGTTTAGTGCCAAAAATAAGGGGTTAACCCCATAAAGGTGTGTACCAATTTAACCTTTTGTTTTTAGAAAATTATTTCTCGCTGATATGAAAGATAAGGTCCTTATGCTTCCAAAACCGTACCGCAAGCGATGCGTGTTAATGTTCAGACCAAGCATCTCAGCTCTTAACAAAACTCCTTCGTCCAATGACTCTTATGTGTAATGGAACTGAGAGTCATGATCAAGGGCTATCCTGTCCATACCTTAATTTGTATGTTCTTTAGTCACACTCAATATCTCAGACAGCACTGGCCCGATTTTGACAAAACTTGGGTGAATGATGCATCTTGCCATAGAGATCCGGCATTTACAAAATTACTCTGATTGGCCAGATGGTGGTGCTATAATTAGAGATTGAAAATGCAAACTTTGAAAGGTCACGCCCCTCACCCCGTTTGACCTAAAGTCATGAAATTCAGTACATAGGTCCCTATCCTCACAAGGAACACATTTGCTTCAGGGACCAATTAGGTCCGCCATGATAGGTTTTCCGCGCTACACTTCTGGCACTGAATAACATAATGGCGCCAGTGGAGATGGCTGCCGTTTAACGGGCTTCTAACCAATTGTTTTATTGTGTGTGTTTTTTCGCGTTATTTGTAACTTATTTTGTACATAATCTTTCTGCCACTGTCTCTTATGACCGAAAAGAGCTTCTGGATTTCAGGACAGCGATTACATTTTTTTCATGCTGATCCTCAACACGGGGGCCCCTCAGGGGTGCATGCTCAGTCCCCTCCTGTACTCCCTGTTCACCCATGACTGCATGGCCAGGCATGACTCCAACACCATCATTACATTTGCAGACGACACAACAGTGGTAGGCCTGATCACCGACAACGATGAGACAGCTTATAGGGAGGAGGTCAGAGACCTGGCCGTGTGGTTCCAGGATAACAACCTCTCCCTCAACGTGATCAAGACAAAGGAGATGATTGTGGACTACAGGAAAAGGAGGACCGAGCACTCCCCCATTCTCATCGACAAGGCTGTAGTGGAGCAGGTTGAGAGCTTCAAGTTCCTTGGTGTCCACATCACCAACAAACTATCATGGTCCAAACACACCAAGACAGTCGTGAAGAGGGCATAACAAAGCCTATTCCCCCACAGGAGACTGAAAAGATTTGGCATGGGTCCTCAGATCCTCAAAAAGTTATACAGCTGCACGATCGAGAGCATCCTGACTGGTTGCATCACTGCCTGGTATGGCAACTGCTCGGCTTCCGACCGCAAGGCACTACAGAGGGTAGTGCATACGGCCCAGTACATCACTGGGGCCAAGCTTCCTGCCATCCAGGACCTCTATACCAGGCGGTGTCAGAGGAAGGCCCTAAAAATTGTCAAAGACTCCAGCCACCCTAGTCATAGACTGTTCTCTCTGCTACCGCACGGCAAGCGGTACCAGATTGCCAAGTCTAGGTCCAAAAGGCTTCTTAACAGCTTCTACACCCAAGCCATAAGACTCCTGAACAGCTAATAAAATGGCTACCCAGACTATTTGCATTTCCCCCCCCACCCCACCCACCCCCTCTTTTACACTGTTGCTACTCTCTGTTTATTATCTATGCATCACTTTAACTCTACCTACATGTACATATTACCTCAATTACCTCGACTAACCTTTGGCCCCACACATTGACTCTGTATCCGGACCCCCTATATATAGCCTCGCTACTGTTATTTTACTGCTGCTCTTGAATTATTTGTTATTTTTTACTTACCTATTTTCTACTTAACACTTATTTTTCAACAACTGCATTGTTGGTTAAGGGCTTGTAAGTAAGCATTTCACTGTAAGGTCTACACCTGTTGTATTCGGAACATGTGACAAATACAATTTGATTTGATTTGAATGACAGATCTGCACGAAACTTGATATGTGGCATCATGGACAAACGTCTCTCAACACAATATTTTCCAGACTAGTACCTAAAACAACATATTGACCAATAAACATTCACGTTGGCATGGTCTGGCACATCAATGCATATAAATCAGTCAAGGATATTCGTATTGTAACACAATTTGGTACACATGTTGCAAACACTTTCAAGACTCAACATATGCAAGAACATTCATATCGAATACACGGTGGCACTATAACGGGCACATGTTTATATCTCTTGATCTGTTTGATTCAGAGTGCAGAAATTTGGCACACATGCTCAGCGATATGAGTCTAGCTAAACCACGCAATATCTCAGACACCACTGGCCCGATTTTGACTCAACTTGGGTGAATGATGTGTCTTGCCATAGAGATCCGGCATTTACAAAATTACACTGATTAGCCCAAGGGGTGACTCTATAGTAATCAACAGTACGTACATTAGTCACACGCGATATCTCAGACACCACTGGCCCGATTTTGACGAAACTTGGGTGAATGATGTATCTTGCCATAGAGATCCGGCATTTACACTGATTGGCCCAAGGGGGGCGCTAAAATAATCAACTGAAATTCCAAACTTTGAACAAGCATACAGTGCATTTAGAAAGTATTGACATCGCTTGACTTTTTCCACATTTTGTTGTGTTACAGCCTGAATTTAAAATGGATTAAATTGAAATGTTGTTGTCACTGGCCTACACACAATACCCCATAATGTCAAAGTGGATAAATTAGTTTTTTTTCGAAATTTGTACAAATTAATAAAAAATGAAAAGCAGAAATGTCTTGCGTCAATAAGTATTCAACCCATTTGTTATGGCAAGTCTAAAAAAGTTCAGTAGTAAAAATGTGCTTAACAAGTCACACGATAAGTTGCATGGTCTCACTCTGTGTGCAATAATAGTGTTTAACAGGATTTTTGAATGACTACCTGATCTCTGTACCCCACACATACAATTATCAGTAAGGTCTCTCAGTCGAGCAGTGAATTTCAAACACAGATTCAACCACAAAGACCAGGGAGGTTTTCTAATGCCTCACAAAGAAGGGCACCTATTGGTAGATTTAAAAAAAAAGATTAAAAAAGCTGACATTGAATATCCCTTTGAGCATGGTGAAGTTACACTTTGAATGGTGTATCAATACACCCAGTCACTACAAAGATACAGGTGTCCTTCCTAACTCAGATGACAGAAACCGCTCAGGGATTTTACCAAGAGGCCAATGGTGACTTTAAAACAGTTACAGAGTTGAATGGCTGTGATAGGAGAAAACTTAGGATGGATCAACAACATTGTAGTTCTCCAAAATACTAACCTAATTGACATAGTGAAAAGAAGGAAGCCTGTACATAAAAAATAAAGATTCCAAAACATGCAACAAGGCACTAAAGTAATACTGCAAAAACAAAATAGCAAAGCAATTAACTTTTTGTCCTGAATACAAAGTGTTATGTTTGGGGGCAAATCCAATACAACACATTACTGAGTACCACTCTCCATATTTTCAAGCATAGTGGTGGCTACATCATGTTATGGGGAGTTTTTCAGAAAAAATAAATGGAATTGAGCTAAGCACAGGCAAAATCCTAGAGGAAAACCTGGTTCAGTCTGCTTTCCACCAGACACTAGCAGATGAATTCACCTTTCAGCAGGACAATAACCTAAAACTTAAGGCCATATCTACACTGTAGTTGCTTATCAAGAAGACAGTGAATTTTCCTGAGTGGCCGAGTTACAGTTTTGACTTAAAAATTGTTATCTAGCAATGATCAACAACTAATTTGACAGAGCTTGAATCATTTTGAAAAGAATAATGGGCAAATATTGTACAATCCATGAATCCAAAGCTCTTAGAGACTTACCCAGAAAGACTCGCAGTTTAATCGCTGCCAAAGGTGATTCTAACATCTATTGACTCAG